CCCGCCTGCATGCCAAGACCACCAGGCCTTTGGTGGGTCCCTGCATCAAAGGCCCCAAATATGACACGTCCAGAGTTTTCTCCCCTGTTCCAACTCATTCCACCAGTATCTCTTCGATGTTCTGTCAAAGATTCTGTGGCACGTGTGTCTCTGAGGTGGATAACCCCATCACCTCTGCGCGGGAGCCAAGTCCCCCCCTTAGACCTCAGGGGCTGTGAGTCCAAGAGCCACTGCACATCCTAACTCTGGGCACCTCCGAGACAACAGCTTTACCAAACTTTGGCTCATTATTTCCAAATCTGAGAACAGGAGCCAATGTCACCTGGCTGTTGGGAGGCTCTACTCCTGCAACGGTTAAAACCAGCTCCAAACCAGCCTTATTTACCACTGCGCTGGAGCAAGCGCCGGCACGAGGGCCCGGACTCCGCGCGTCTCAAATAATGGCCGGGAGCGAGTCCCCTCGCTGCTCCCACGGACGGTCCTCAGACCTGCGAGGGCCCGGTCATCTCTGGTAGCAGGGTGCAAGTGCAGCTCATGCCTGTACTTTCCCAAGAGTCTTTATATAAGCAAACTCCAAATGCAAAACATTTTTAAGAGGGACGATTGTGAGAGAACTGCCTGGAAAAGAGGGGTGTCTACGTCACACCCTCCACGCGCTAGAAAGAGAGAGAATACCATCAAAATTTTGTTCAGATCCAGCGAGACGGAAGTTGAATGTTGGTAGGCCTGAAGAAACCGCTGAGATTATCTGGCTCAACATTTCCTGAAGCTTGATCCACAGAATATGATTTGGTTCTATAAAAACAGGCTGCGAGGTGACCTAACTTCAGGACATTTACAACACACGCCCCAAACCTCTGAAGGGGTTAACGCACGTGAGCTTGGATGGCGCCAAGAAACACTGCAACAAAGCAGCCTCTCCCCTTTAACTCTGCATCCCCCAGGCTTCTCTGCAGGAGTCCTGTCCCATGGACCATCCACTAACAGCCTGGCGGCCAAATGCTGGGAAGGGCCGGTCCGGGTCATGCAGTTATTGCAGCAGCCTCAGGCCTCCTGACTCTCCATCTAGAGTACTTTCCACTAGAAATTCCAAATAAAAGCCAGAGCTGACAGACGTGTATCTGGAAAAGGATCAGGGAAAAAATGTCAGTGAGACACCCCACTCAACAGCGTCACACAGCAGCCAAGGGTGGGGGTGAAGGCCACCTGGAGGCCAGCGTGCACCCAAACGGGCAGCTGTTCCTCAGCCTCTACCGGGGAAGGCCACACAGAATGTGGGCGCAGTGTGGCCAAATCTTCTATAGAAAAACTATGAATCTCAATTTCCACTTGAAACCCTTCAAGATCCTACGTGTTGGCGCCCGCGGTCAAAGCCTTCCTGCAGACCCACTGCGCGCACCCCCACCTCAGGGGCCACCAGCTTGCGAACTCTGGTCTAGACTAACTCGCAAATACAAAATAACTGAGACTTCAGAAGAAACCGAAGCGTGATGACACCCAGGTGCCATCGAAGTTTAGAGGAAAGTGGGGTTTAGCTAAAATGAGAACCACCTGAGAGGCATCCAGTGCAATGGCCCGCTCCTTTAACGGTCCCTTTCAAAACCAAATGTGAAGTTCAGTGCTCCTGTTAATGTGGGCGAAGCAGCGAGGGCTCACTCTCTGCAGGGCGCTCTACTGGGCTCCTGTAAGCAATGACACGGGAGCAGGCACTACTTCCTGAAAACACCGCTTTTGTCCCAGTGTTTGAGAAAGTTAAATGCGAGCGCACGGAGGAGTTGCAAGTCACTTGAAATGATGTCTCAACCATGTATGAGACGTGCGTGCGTGTGTACATACGCATATGCTCGATGGAGTATAAATGATATCAACTGAGCATTCAGTACCCTTGACAAGAGTCAGAAACTCGGTATCTTAAGTGAGCAAAGGCAGCATCTCTCACAGGGAGTCCGACAGCTAAAGAACAGAGGCTTTTCTTTCACTGGCGGAAGCGGTGTTCTCTTAAGGGGCAGCCACCTGCTTCTCAGGCTCACAGTGGGAACCAGCAGCGCTGGGAGGCATTTTCTGGGTGGACATCAACATTTCCTGGAAAATAATAGGTTCGAGGCCTTAAAAAAAAACCTGTCAAAATGTCACTTTCTATCGATTCTACAGTGGCCTGGTCACAATCATTTGGGTGCCCAACTCCATGGGGCACCAGTTACCTAGCATATGTGTGAACAGAATTCTCTGCACATATGCAGCACAGAGGCCATACAAAGTCTAGATCAAAGTAAGACTTTAAAGTACTAAAAGACACGAGCGATTTGGCCAGAGACTTTCTTCCATTTGGGTGACGACTAGTGGAGGCTGCTGGGCTGTGTCTTGCACATGGTGTGATACCACCCCGCTAATAGGCAAAAGCACGCTTTTGACGACGGACGCTACCAAACTACCAGCAGTGGGCTTTCTGGAAACATGGTTAGATGTTTAGGAAATCCAAGCAGAACAAAGCGGAATTGCATCTCTTCATCCATATTCTCCACGAGCTCCCCATGTAACCTAGTCAAGGTAGACCGTAGGGAGGCCGGGGGCCGGGACACCCGACACTGCCCTTACCAGGATCACGTCCTGGCTAGCATCCTGCCCTTTCTAAACAACTAGTTGAAATACTTTTATTTTTGTGAACAAGTCAATGGTTTGAGAGAACTGGACATGGGTTGTTCTTCAATACTTAGAAGTTTTAGATTCTCATCAATGGGGCTGAATCAGATTATAATGCTATACTTTGTATACTTCCCAAGTGAATGGAGGCAAGTTACCTGTTTGTACCAAACACAATTAACTCACGGAATTTCACACTGCTAGGGGACAGACTTACTTTTTTCACATTTCCAGAGGTCCTCGAAGAATATCACTGAGTGAACTAACATTGGTTTTCTCTGTTGAAAGGGATCCAAAAGATATATACAAGGAGGTTTCAAGATGCCAGTGAATTAGGTGCTGTACCCCACATACTAGGCTTAACAAGAACTGGAGGTTCAAATCCCAGCAGGGTCAACTCAGGCTCTATTACAATTATCTAAATAAATTGGGCCTCAGAAAGTTTATTGGGCTCCCTGACAAACTTATGAGGGTCTTACAGACTGTCACTGGCGTTGAGGACACACAGGAGGGGAGAGAGCTTAGCACTGATTTAAATAAATACACTGTCTTTTATTTCCATTAACTGAGGATGGAGGGGAGTCACACCTTGTAACCTGTTGTGTATATGAGGGAGAGGTTGAACCACCATCATCCAAATGCCCAAATGATACAAGATCCTTTCAGGTAAGATGGACTATCAGCACACAGTATGTTAGATTCTAACATCCCATTCCTGCCAAATGCAAATCTACAAATAAACCTAAAATTACCCACAAACCTGGTTTTTTTCCTTTAGTTTTTAAAGGCCATCAAATCCTGGGAGACAGTATCGACCTCCAGTTGTTAATATTCAGAAGTAACACTGACAGCACGGTCTCCATGGGGCTTAATACCGTTCCGGTCAATGGTGCACATTTCCAGTGAAGTTTTCTCTGCTAGTAGTAAACACCACTGCTTCAACAATCCACATTAGGTCAGCATTTAACAGAGGGTCTCCCTCCCTCACGAGCAGGTTGTCCAAGAACATGAGTTCAACCATTGGCTCAAGAGAAGCAGAGTCTTCTCAATGGTTCGAAATTCATTTTATGTTCAACTACAGGCCTTCTGCAAACTGAGGATCTGAGCTCTTTAGATAGTGACTATAATTCTTCCTGGATACAGAAGGCCAACAAGGTGGTTGTCACTCATCAGCCCAGAGCGAAAGCCATTACATATTAGTAGCCAGTGAGAAACAAGGTTCAGGACCCTGTGCTGTAGAGCAGTGCAACACGCCGGCACGCAGAGTGATGGAGGGAGCTGGATGGCGTGTTCATCCATTACAGCCACTGGTTGGCTCTGAAGTCTAAGTAAGATGGATACTCACTACTGGGCTGGCTGGCGCCTAGGCAGTAAGTAACAAGTCATCAGATAGAATTTTAGGTGGAACCACAGGTTTGGAAAGTTCTGGGATCCAATATAATGTCTACAGGAACATCAGTATTAAAATGAAAAGTCAGTATCTGAGAAACACGTAGGGTTCCCTCCCCTGGAATACTGGAAAGAGATGGAAAGACCATATCTTCAAGCGCCCGAGTAGAGGAGACCTTCTTCTAATACAATGACTCCTGTGGCTTTCTGTTAGGAATCAAGCAGTAATTAGTTATAGCCCAACTTTTGTAACGCCAGTTAGTATGCCTACAAGTGAACAGGAAGAGATGATGAGCACAGGACACTCAGCAGATGTTGAAGGGTTAGACCTAACTTGTTGGTGAGTTTCAAAAACAAGGATACCTTCTGTTCTGAGCACCGTGCCAGAACCAAAGATTATTTCTGGCAGGTTCCATGTTGGTTCTCCAGGAAGTTTACCACCTGTGAAAACTGTTTCACTCTGACAAAATGCGCGACGTTGTCAGATGGTAAAGCTTCGCGGCTGGAAGAGGCCCCCTCCCCTGCTCCCGGAGGACGGGGAACTCCTGCCCATACGGATTCCTGCGTCTTGCGAGCCACCCACTCCCGCCCCACACCCCTCTCCCCGCTCCCGAGTAAAGTAACCTCGAGTTCCTTCCCTTCCACCCTCGAAATACGGACAGTCCAGGGCAGCGTCCCCACGAGGGGCAGCCGCGGAGCCGGCCTCCCCGCGCCCTCCTGGCGCCCGAGCCCAGGCCGCTGCGCGGGGCCCGCCGGGCGGGGCCGGGGGCGGGGGGGGCCCGGCGAGAGCCTCCCCCGCGGCCGAGCGCGCCCGGGCCTCGCGCGGCGCCCCGGCCCTCGGCCCGCGGGAGCCCCCGGAGCCCCTCGCCCGGCCGGGACGTCAACGCCGGCGCCTCCCGCCCGGCCGGCCCCTCCTCCCCGCAGGCCCGGCCCCGCCTGGGCACTCGCCCCCGCCGCGGCCGCGCCCGTACCTGCCGGACCCGGTGCAGCGCGTCCACGAAGCCCTCGGCCTTCATGCCCACCGGCGCGCTCTGCCCCTGCACCAGCTCCGCCATGGCCGCCCCGCCGCCGCCGCCGCTCGGCTCCCCGGTCCGGCCTCCCGCTCCGCTCGGGACCCGTAGCCGGAAAGGGAAAGTCGCCGCACTTCCGGCGGAAGGAGGCCGGGCGCTCAGCGCCGGGAGTCGCGCCTGAGGGGGCGGGGCCAGAGCACGTGACCGCGCTCGGACCGGAAGTGAGGGCGGGGCCGCGGCGGGCGGGGCGTGGCCTCGGCGGGGCGGGGGCGTGGCCTCGGCGGGCGGGGGCGGTCCCCGGGGCGGTCCCAGCGCGCCGGTCCGCGGCGGGTTCGGAGGGGCCGCTCGCGACCCCGCCCTGCCCGGGAGCGACTCGGGGCCTGGCCGTGGGCCTGGGGTCTTGACAGCCCCCGAGGCTCGGGTGTCCGGCTGGCGGTCGGGGGGGCACGCGGAGCGCTGACGTGGCTTTCCCAAGGCTGCCCCCGGCCGCCCGGGTCCCCTGAGCGCCGGACCCGAGCCCCTCCCGACATGGCCCGCAGCTCCGGACTTGAGCGCTTCGAGGCGACACCGGAGGCCCCGAGGGAGGCCGCGGGCGCGGGGCAGGGCCCGCGTGTCGGTGCCCACGTGCGCCGCGAGCCCTGGCCCGGGCTCCTGCGCCTGGGCGGGGCCGCACCTGGCGTTGCCTGGCAACCCCTCGGGAGGGACGCTCCCGCCGACAGCCACGTGGCCGCCGCTGGCACAGTCCTTCAACTCGGACCCGCGGAAACGCAAGACCCCCGGACCCTCCTTGCTTCGGTGCCTGCTGAGTGCAAACCGTGTTGCAGGGAGGCCTCTTGCACTGCCTCAGTAGCTTTTTTTAAAAAATGGGAGTAAGAGGTACAGATTTTTCAAAGCAAGGGAAGGAATCTCACGGCTGGAACACACTTGAGCCTTTTATAAGTGAGCAAATAAACTCCCCCCAAAACGTAACTGGGCCTCAGGGCTTCGATGCACATCTTGTTAGTGGCCGGTTCCAATCAGGTGCCCACCTTGGATTAACAAGATTGCCCTCATGATTCGTGTGGCCCAAGCTCTACGCTGCTAATGAGTTAGATTTCAGCAAAGAGTCGTGTTCAAACATCTTGAAGTTACCTACGAGATGAAAAGGAAGAAAAAGAAAGAAAATGCGGTTGACTTCTTTTGGTGACCCCTTGGATCAGCGTGCTTGGAGAGCTTTGGGTTTTGGAAAGAAGTGTGAGGAATAATCGACCAATAATCAAAGCGTACTGCTTCTTTTGTTAATGACTTCACTACTGGACTGTGAGTTTCTTTCCTGCAGAGACTGAGTCTTAATTTCACCTGTCTCCCCATAGTTCGGCACACAGTAGGGAAACTTTTTAGGAAACATCTTTTGATTGTTTGAATAATTCCTGGATCATGGGAAAATTAAAAAATTAGGCAAAATTGCAGTGTCGAAGATCATCACTTTCAGACAGAATGTTTCAACCCATGGAGGAAAAGGAGAGTTGGCTGTGTTGCTGTTATTGTTGAAATACTATCACGAGACAAGAACAAAGCACACCAACACATTTCTCTGTGGCCAGTTTGAGTGTGTTGAATGTTCTAACTTTGCTATGCTTGCAAAAATCAAGGAAATGACATCAACTTTCAGGAATGGGGATGGCTGTTCTGACCCGGTATCAGTGGTAACTTGTGTTTTGAATACATTTTTAAATCTCTGAGGTGAGTATGTTGATTCATGCAAATTCCAGCTGGCTTCTCCTTGGAATATAAATAATGAAAACAGAATTACTGGCACCAATATAAGCACAAATTCCAAAGTTTAGCCCGAAGACCACAGAATGCCTAAATAGGAAAACAAGTCTCTTGTACTGGTTGGGTAACTTTGGGCATCTCTCGTAGTTCTCAGGACTCAGTCGAGGAAGATAACACAGACCCAGTGTGATCCACTGTTTTATGTTCCACTGACACCTTGGAGTTCATCTTGGCATTTATCGTGATCATTTTTAAATCACTGTGTAATTGTTTGCTTATTATCTGTCTTTTCCACTAGCATAAAACCTCATAAAGGGATCATGCTGACCTTGTTCATCCCTCCATCTAGCACCTAGCACAGTGCCTGGCATTTTGTTGACTCTCCATTATTTGTGAAATGATTTTGCCCAAATTGGGTAGGAAGAGATTCTCAGAGGTCAACAAAACCCACGTACTCTGGATGTGACTAGCTTTGCATATGAGATGGTCACCTAAATAAATCATTCTGCCCTGGGACTTGAGACATTGAAATGCCTCCTGACATTAAGATGATGTCACTGATGACACATGCCTCCTCCTTCACCATAAGTAGAAGACACTCTAAAGTGAAATTGTATCAGGAGAGCCTAGATTGTGCTTTAGTAAGAAGCCTCAAACCTTCAGTGACTTACGACAATACAGGTTATTTCTCACACGGACACCACTGTTCATGCTACAACAACATTGCAGCTGGGTTTGTCTTGGCTACATGTTGTCTTCACTCTTCAGCCAAGGCTGGTAGAACAGCCTCTGTCTCAAACATTAAATGACATCGAGGCAAAGGGAAGAGAGCTTGGCAAAGCATGAGCTGCCTTTTAAAGCTTCTGCCTCTAGTGATATGCTTGACTTTCATTCACATTTAATTCACATTCACTGTAATTGACTAAAGCAAGCCAGATGGTGAAGCACTGATCAACTAGCAGACATAATCCACCTTCAGGGAGCAAACAGCAAATACTTTTGAAGAATGATACAATTTTCCAAAGAAATCAAGAGAAAAAATATGTATGGGGAATGTGGCAGAGTAAACCTCTACCCTGAAGGATATGGCATGGTAGTAGCCAGGATTCATTAGTATCCCAAAGATCTTTGGTATCTGGTCATCTGTAATTTGGGGGAGCCTCATATTATCATCCCAAGATCTATACTGTTTTTCTTTATCCCTGAGACAGAAATAATTCATAGCAATACCTCTTTGTGAATGGGTTGTCTCCATTGAGAGATTTTTCACATGTCCCTAGACCAGACACATCTTTTCCAATGTCAGGTGTCCACAGTAATTTCAAGTACAGACTAAAGAGCATGTCAGCATGAAATCTAAAATAAAGGAGAGTTATTTAAACTCTCTATTAGAGGCCTCCCTGGTGGCACAAGGGGTTAAGTTACAGCACTACGAAGCTATCCACAGCCGCTACCACACGAGTTCGATCCCTGGCCAGCCAGGGAGCTACCCACATGGCACAGCAGACCTTTTCTGACTCGCCTGCTGCTCACCTCAGCAGTGTATTTCAGTCAATCCGCCTGTTCTGTTCCCCACTCTGTCTCTGGTGAATCCTCTTACCCATCCCACCTCTGACCTGCACTCCAGTTCTTGAATGCATAAGTAAATCTTTTAAAAAACAAACTCACTATTAGTTATTTAGAATAAAGATACTCCTTGGAGCCATATTAAATGATCTGATCATTAGAGAGTTACTCTGTGTCTTGTAAACAGTAAGAATATCATTCTTGCCCTCATACCATCCTACTCTTCAGAGACTAAATACCCTACCTCAGGTAAGTTCCTAATCACCCCCAATGGCCCCACCTCTATTATATCACATTGGACTTCAGGATTTCAGGATATGAATTTTGGGGGACACAGCTCATAGCAAATGTTGAGGGTTCTTTGTATATATATAATGGTTTTTTTTGTAAAAAAAATCATAAGATATATGATTTGCAACTATTTTCCTTCTATCTGTGAATGTCTTTTCATTCTTTTGAAGAGCATAATTCCAAATTTTGATGATGCCTAATTCATTGTTTTTTTCTTTTGTGGATGATATTTTTGGTGTTTAATCAGAGAACAGCTTAATCCAAGATCACACGACTATGTCTTCTTAAAGTTTTAGGTTTTATATTTAGGTCTATGATTCATTCTGAGTTAACTTTTGCATAAGGTATGAGGTATGGGTCAGATGCACTTTGTTTTCATAAAACTGTCCAATTGTTTAAACAATGATGTAAAAGGAAAAAAAATCTCTTCTCCATTTAATTCTTTTGGTGAGAGAGAATTGATTTATGTACATAAATTCCAATGTCAGGTGTCCACAGTAATTTCAAGTACAGACGAAAGAGCATGTCAGCATGAAATCTAAAACAAATGAGAGTTATTTAAACTCTATATTAGTTATGTATATAGGTGAAGGTCTAGCCTAGACTTTTTTATACTGTTCCATTGACATGTGCCTATCTCTTCACACTGTTAGGGTGAAAGGATGTCCTGAGCAAACTCCATACAGGATTTGTGGACTGCACCCCCACTCCATCAAGTCACCGGGAACTACAAATACCATGATCACCAAAGGGAAGGTTTCGAGGACCTGAGGGCAGAGTTAAGCAACTATATTCTCTGTTTGAGTATTTAACTGGCCGTGAGGCCGGGGGTCTCTCTCTTGGCCAAGCGGTGTGCTCAGTTTCTCACCAGCTCAGAGGGTCATTGGGATTCCAGACCAGCGGAATGGGTAGGACACATTTATGAACTTATCTTCCTCTTTTCTCCCTGAGTTATTCATTTCCCCAGTTCCCCTTCCCTGGTAAATAAACTTTTTATCCACCTTTTGTGTGTGTCTGCAGTTTAGCATTAATAAGTCCCCTTTAAGCACGTGGGTGAGAACCCACAGTCAGGCAACCCGTTTTATATCGGGGTTGCTCTGTAACAATACCATGTTGTGTTGGTTACTGTAGCTTTACAGTAAAATTTAAAATACGTGAGTCCTCCAATTTCGTTCTTTTTCAAAAATTGTTTTTTGGCTATTGAAGACTCTTTGTGTCAGCATGCAAATTGTAGAATTAGGTTGTTGAGATCTGTAAAAAAAAAAAAAATCCTATTGAGACTGTGTTGAATATACAGACCAGTTTGAGGAAAATTATTATTCTAGCAATGAGTCTTCCAGTCCATTAACAATCTATAGCTCTGTATTTATTTTGGTCTTCTTTGGCTTCTTTTTCCGGGGTTCTGCACACACTTTGTTAGATGTGTACCTAAATATTTCATGTTTTTGGTGCTAGTGTAAATGGTACTCTTAAAATTTTG